CTTTATTAAAAGGAATTACCAGTTCCTTGAAGCAGTAGTTCCTGAGCATCTCCCAGGAAGGGTGGTGCTCAGAAAGCAGCCACATACCCGACCTATTGCTGAGCCCATTGTGGTCAGGATGTGATGCAGAAACTCGGCGTCAGTCTAGCAGGTAAACACAATTTACTATGAAAGAGTTTCAGTCTACTTCTTCTACATTAATACATTCAAAATAGGAAGCATCATAACTTTATCCTAGATATTTTTGTGTGGGCTTGTAAATGATCCTCTTTAATGTCATCATTTACCTTCTATGATTGTTGAATTTCTAATTTCATAACTTCACTTGGATTTTTAAGTAATGGATGAGCCAGGTTTTAGTATGCACAATTTGACAGCATGTTTTGGTGTTTGTTTCAGGGGACGTCCTCTATACCAGCAGCCACCACTGTGTCTGCAGTAACAGCTGGGGATCTGGATCTATTCACTGAACAAACAACCAAGTCAGAAGAGGTGGCAAAGAAACAACTCTCCAAAGACTCCATCTTGTCTCTGTATGGTGCAGGGACCACTCAGCAGCAGAGCGCTCCTGGTAACTCATTTATTTTCAAGTCTGCTCTCAGGGACTGCAGTGACATTACTGGTTATACTGTATCAATTGTATTTCCTCATTTTTCTATGTAATGGGTGATTTTGTTGCTGAAATTTGCACAACTACAAAACTGAAATGAATGAAGCATTAGAATAAAAAAAGCAGGCACAGGAATCACAACACTTTATTCATTTAGAATTAACAAGCTGTTCACATATCACTTAATATTGTTTCACAAGTTTTTAGGACATGGATTATCTGTGAAGAATTGTTTATAACTGTATACGGTATGGTATTTTCTCTGCAAGTAAACAATAAATAGTCTGAATTATCACATGAATTCCAAAAGTTTGAGACTTTAAAACTAATATAATGAAATACTAGCATAGTAAGATTTGTTGTTTACAGTTTTGTCAGACTGTCTCAAAATAATGAGCTGAAATTATATGACATCCCACTGCTTCCCATAAAGCCAGACACAGTGAACTTGTGTATTTGGTCGTGGGAGACCAGTGGTGCGAGGAAGCGGAAACGCACATTATCTCATGCTATGCAGTGTGGTCTTCACCACGGATACTTGATGTAGCTATTGTAAGAGTTATTCTAATTAGAATTGCTCAGGTTTATAACTAATTTGTCTGTATTCTAGAAATAACCAGCTCTGAAGGTGTGAATTGGTCTGAGCAGTAGAAGCAGTCAAACCAGAATTAAAATGTTTGCTATGGAAAGTTCAGAGAGATGGCAATTGTTGTTCTGCGATTATAGAGTGCGGCTGCACAGAGTAGCCCCGTTCTCTTTATTCATTTTCTTTTCATGGTCTTATACTGCAGGTGTATTTATGGGACCCACAAACATACCATTTACCTCACAAGCACCGACTGCGTTTCAAGGTTTTCCATCAATGGGCGTCCCTGTGCCTGCAGCTCCTGGCCTCATGGGAAATGTGATGGGACAGAGTGCGAGCATGATGGTGGGCATGCCCATACCCAATGGGTTCATGGGCAATGCACAAACTGGTGTGATGCCACTGCCTCAAAATGTTATTGGCCCCCAAGGAGGAATGGTAGGACAGATGGGCGCACCCCAGAGTAAGTTTGGCCTACCGCAAGCTCAGCAGCCCCAGTGGAACCTATCGCAGGTAAGGCTCATTTGCTCTCCAATTTACCCGGAATCAAAGAAACCAGATTCACTTTCTAAATGGTTTTATTTTTATTTCAATCTGACAAAGAATGGACTAGGGAATTAACTTATATCAAATAGACAAATTCCTGTCATTGTCCCTATTTGATATTCTGTAAAGAAATGTTAAGCATTTTTTTCATTTCAGATTACAACAACTGTAATCATAAACATACCTAATCGAGTTGTAACAGCTAGAAATTATCTTGGGCATCTTAGGAGACTCCTTTTTTCACCTTTGAGATTAGTAGCAAGCTTTAACCCAGTTCCCTGGTGGGGTGTTTTTATAGTCTACTTAGACCTACATGTCTTCACTAATTAGGAAAAAATCGTTTTATGAGGGATCTAGGCTGTTCTCCACATCATGTGGCTATGCTCCATGTATTTATAAAACATCTTTTTGTTCAAGAACCTCTGTAAAGTTGTATTTCCTTATCCTGTAATTAGGTTTATAGTTAAAAAGAGCACCCACTAGTTCAAGAATCTCCATAAGCTATGAAGAAGTCTATATCAGATATCCCTTCATATTATACAATCCTGTTTCTACATAAGTTAGTTTAGAGCCAAGAGATGACACACATTAGTACTACCTCCTTCAAATGTGTTTGTTTTAGGTGCTCTGTTCTGACTTTTCTCTGGCTCCACAGAAAGGCCCTTAGACTGAGGTTCATGGTCCCGCTCCTCTTCCCTTTAGCTTCATCTTTGATGGTTCTCTGGCATCTTGGCTCCTGTCTGGTCAGCAGTTTTACCTTGAGAGCATTTAAGGAATAGTCTGTAGTGATTTCTGACCAGCATTAGCGAAATCATCTGTATATCCCAAGAATGCTCCAAGTTATTTTTACTTGCTATCACTTTTAAAGGAATATATGTATGACCCTGGTCTCTACTCTCCGGGAATCTCAAAAATGATTAAGTACGTAATGGCAGTAACAGCTTTCATGTAGCCCAAATGTTGAAGCACACCCAGCTCAGGTTAAGGTGCTGGATGAACCAGGAAGGAGTTGACATTGGCCCTGACTTCCAGGCATGCTGAAGGCTGAGACTGTGTTCTCCTGCACTCCCTGCGAGGATCTGCTGGCCAACAAGGTGGTTAAAACATCCTTGAGTCAGTATCAGAAGTGATCCATTCCTACAGACACTTATTGCCTCATTAGTGATGTGATTAACATTAGTGTCTTTGAAAAATTGGGAACAAACTTTATTAAAAAGAATCTAATCCAACCCTGAGCATAGGTTTTCACTCCACTCTGTACTCAATTCTCATCCCTTAACCTGTCATCTTAGAGGTAAGAGAACCACAGGGGAAGTGTTAAGATGCTATATACACACATGACTCCAGTGCGGCAGAACAACACATCAAATCTTATACCTTATCATATAATAAAATTTTTAGATATTTGGTTAGCTAAGCAAAAGAAAAAATATACACTTGATGACCTTTCCTTTAATATTTAGAAAGTATATATATCCATTTAAGATTGGAGTATTTTACTTAGTCCTTAGTGGTTAAAGCACTAGTCGAGTTCAAACTTAGAATAGTGGACTCGTCATATACCCAGATACAAATTTAAAGATTGCTTTGGCACTTTCTTTCAGTTGTGGTTAACCTTTGTGGGGCAAGAAATTGAGTCTAGAAAATGAATAAATATAGTGGTAAAAAAATGGAAGGAAACGAACAAGAATGGAACAGAGTAGCTGTTTGCTTTCTCTGCTTTTACCAATTTTCACATTGACAAAAAAAACATTACAACTGCTGTTAAACTTCAGTATCTCTCTGACTGAGCCAGCTTCTAATAAAGTTGGGTAACTATTAAAAATAACTGTGGCTGAAGAAATAAGAACTAAAGTGAAGTAAGATTCTTAACCTGAGTCCTGCATGTGTTCCACAGGTGAATCAGCAAATGGCTGGCATGAGCGTGGGCAGTGCGAGCCCGGGGCTGGGGCTGGGCCAGCCGCCCAGCACCACAGCGGGGTGGGCCGGAGCCTCGTCGGGGCAGACCCTCAGCACTCAACTGTGGAAGTGAGGCAGACCGCCACCTGCCAGTCCTACTCCAGTGCATCTAGTCCCCCGTGTATTCATGTACATATCTATTTTTTCTTTTTCCCCATTTGTTCACATTAAGAATTATCTGATTGACTGTGTTGGTTTGTACTGATTAAATCTGATGTGGTAAAAAGCAGGTTGAGAAACCATTTTATGTCCAAGGCAGCTTTGCTCCTAGTTCCTGTAACTTCATAAACCACAATTTGAGAAGCTGTTCAGTCAACTTGCATAATCAGTTTTACTCTCAATAAAATTATAGCTCTAATGTTTGCCTATAAGGAAAATAGTTATCATGTTAGTAATACCTCTAACAGTATAAACCCCACCCCCAAATTAGCCAGTAATCTCGTAGGAAGGTACTGTATGATCAAATGGTTAATCATATAAATAGAATGTAAATGTATCCTGAGCACTGTTTTCTAGTGTATCAAAATTCTTTTATTTCATCATTTACTTCACTGTGCTATTGTTATGATGTGCTTAACAGGGAACGTGGTTAGTGAAAGGAAGATAAACCTGGATGTTACTATAAAACTTAGTTTAACGAATATTTAAAGAATTCAGATTTTATCTGCCTCTCTTGTAATTTGGATCTCTTCTTACGTACATAGTGCTAACGGGAAGACCTTTCTCTGCACTATATGCAAACAGGGTAACTAAACAAAGCCACTTTCAATCCTTGAAGGTATATCCAGGTTTATGACAGTAATTGTGTTTACATTTTATGGTGCCTAGTATTGACAAAATGTTCTATCCCAATATTAAATAGATGAATCCATAGACCTTTTTTTTGTGGGTTTTATTTCCTACAGTGTATACTGCCACCAACCTTACATAAATTACTTAACGTTGCTAAGTCAGGAATTGGGGACAAAAATTACTTGTCACTTGTTTCTAAAACCTGTTCAGTTCTACCAATTTTAATACCTAATGGGGGAAAAAAGAAAAAGTATGAGAGATTCAGAATGGTATCTGCAGTGTCATTAGCTATACTGTACAAAGATCTTCCAGTTTAGTTGTAGAGAAAACGTGCAGAACAAATGAAAACAGAAACACCCATTTTATACCGTTTGATTAGCTCATGTTAACTGACAAGCTCTGTTTAAACAGATGTCCATCAGATGTCAATAAAGGCTGTTGTACTGAAGTAAAATGAACAATACCTGAATGCTCTGTAGCCTAACCTCCAAACGTCCTCTTCCACGCCCACGGGCCAGGCAAGCCGCACCCGTTACTGCTCCCTTTACACCTCAATCCTCACCGTGTCCAGGTGGTGCTTGGGCTCGTTGGCTAGATTAACCTTCTCTGTCCGAGTGTGCCACACAAGAACCTAGAGGGAGGGGAGGGAAATGTTTTGGGCAGCCAGACTCTGAACACCGACACGCAACTAGATCAAGCAGCACATGTGAAATGAATACCTTGGTGCAGTTATTTGCTTTAGGTTCCAATTCTTCAACGGTGGTTATCTGTTTTAGAAAGTCGGATTCTTGCATCCCTGGCTGGGATCCACGGCGCTTAAATACAGCCTTTGGATTGGACAAGATGACTTGAAGGCTCACAGCAAATCCTTTGTAAAAAGTAAAAAAAAAAAAAAAGCTTTAAAGTAAATACTGGTGTACTTCTATTTTCCATATAACTTTGGTCAGAAACAGTTTTATATGCCTGCAGTGTGCCAGGTCTTGGTTCACACAGTTGAAAAGGGAGCACTGCCTGTGCCAGTGCAGTGCGCTCAGGGCCCTCGCGGAGGTGCACGGGCGGGTGTCTGCTGTGTAACAGGCAGTCTGGTCTGCGAGCTGCTGTTCCATAGAAGTCATCAGCCCTGCGTCTGACACTCTGGGAACAACTAAGACCTAAATGTAGTTGAAGAGCATTCAGGCTTAACCCTAACTGGGCTTGAGGCCATGATGAGAGCCGCCAGTTCTGCCGTCCTTGAACATCTTTGTGTGAGCCTTATGAAAACCAGCTCTGATCTACTTTGAGTTTAGACAGAAACAGAAGTCAAGTTAGTTTGCCAGAACATGAATAATGTATAATTTGTTTTACGTTTCTGATTTGGTTCAATCTGAAAAGGTTTGAAATCAGTATAGGATATATTCGGCTATTTAATAAATTTGATTTTTTATTTCATCCTTTAGGAAACAAATTAGTGTCAATTTCCATCAATAGTTTGGTCATAGGAAAAATCATTACTATTTAATCTGCAGTTTAACAAACTCTATGTTAAAGACTTAGCCATTAAACACTCGACAAGCCATCTCAACAAATATTACAACCTTTATAATTGTTTGAAAGCTTGAAGCCCCAGACTGCTGCTCTTTTTTTAAACTTATATATTTTTTATCTTTATTGTTGAAAGTATTACAGATGTCCCACCCTTTAACCCCCATTGATCCCCTCTTCCCTGCTCCACCCCCACACTGTTGTCTTGTATCCACTGGTTATGCATATATGCATGTAAGTTTTTCAGGTTTATCTCTTCCCACCTCCCCTCCCCTTCCCCCTGATGTTTGTCAGTCTGTTCCCTACTTCCATGTCTCTGGATCTATTTTATTTTTTTTAATATTTTTGATTTTTATTAAAAAGGGGGGAGGGAGAGAGAGAGAAACATCGATGTGAAAGGGACACATTGAGTGGCTGCCTCCCGCACAACCCAACCAGGGCTGGGGACAAACTGCAACCGCGGTACATGCCCTTAGCAGGAACCGAACCTGGGTCTCTCTGGACTGCAGGCCGACGCTCTAACCGCTGAGCCAAACTGGCCAGGGCTCTCTGGATCTATTTTGATTGTCAGTTTACTTTGTTTATTATATTCCATAAATAAGTGAGATCATGTGGTATTTATCTTTCTCTGAATGGCTTATTTCACTTAGCATAATACTCTCCAGGTCCCTCCATGTTGTCTCAAAGGATAAGAGATTTTTCTTTCTCACAGTTTCATAGTACTCCATTGTGTATATGTACCACAGCTTTTTTATCCATTTGTCTACTGATGGATACTTGGGCTGTTTCCAGAGCTTAGCGATTATAAATAGTGCTGCTATGAACATAGGGGTACATATATTCTTTCTGATGGGTGTTTCAGGTTTCTTAGGGTATATTCCTAGAAGTGGGATCACTGGGTCAAATAGTAGTTCAATTTTTACTTTGTTGAGGAAACACCATAGTGTTTTCCATAGTGGCTGCACCAGTCTGCATTCCCACCAGCAGTGTACTAGAGTCCCCTCTTCTCTACACCCTCGCCAGCACCTGTTTGAGAATTTGTTGATGGCAGCCATTCTGGCAGGTGTGAAGCGATACCTTTTAATTTGTACCTCTGATGATTAGTGCAATTGAGTTTTTCATATCTCTCTTGGCCATTCAGACCGCTGCTCTTAATGACTAAGCTGACACTATAAAGTTATGCACCCTCCCCAAGTTAAAGCTATGAGGACCAATCCCTAGAAACATTTCTTAGCAACTTTTGCCCTTTTCTACATTAACTGAATTGATATATGCTTACTTTGCAAAAGTATAGTTAGCAAAGTAAGTGCCACAAGATACCAGGCAGTAATGGGGGAACTGTGGGAAAACCACAGCCAGCATTCTCATAAACTCTCCAGATGCTAGATGGGCCAGTGCCATGTTCTAGACCCTGCTGCCTTTATGGGAAAACTAAGCTACATACAAACACAGCTTGGTACAGCATGTGCTGAGGGAGACAACAAGTCATAAAGCATTTGCCTGAGGACTGGACCCAGTATCTGCCATCAATCCTGGAGACAGCACGTTCCAGCAGAAAGAACACAAAATCTGAAATTTGAAGTCTTATTTTCACCTGGGTCCTTGCACTTGGGACACTGGTCAAGTCAATTAACTTTTCTTGATTCTGAAATGTCCCCATTTTCTCATCTGCAAGAGATGTGACACCTCAACTTAGTGTCTGATGTAAAATTAGTGAATGAAAAGACTCCACTTACTGCAAAGCACTTGTATTCAAAAGATACTACAATATATAAATAATACCACTATACCTATTATTATGGTATTAGCCCCATTTACAACTAGAAAATAGTGTTGACAGGGAAGGAAAGGGCTTGTGAAAGGTGGAGTAGCAGAACCAGGCTACCTGCATCCCCACCACTTTGCCAATAAGTCTGAAGCCTCCTCAACGAAAAGCCAAGGGTTCAAATTAACACACAAAAAGTGACTTTTCTAACAGGTCAATTCAGGTTTGTGTCCAAACACTCCTTGCTCTTTTTCATGTGCTAATAAGTAAGCGTCATCCTTTTTTGCCCTTAGCTGAGAGTCTGCCGTCTCAGTCGGCTGGTCTGTTTCTCACATGGCTTCAAGGTGCTGGGTGTGTTTCCCATTCTCAAAAACACAGGATCCAAATGCACAAGTGGTTCTGAAAAGGGTAGGAAACCACTTTGATCTGGTTTCCTGCATTCCCCACAAAGACTACATTCATGACATCATGACTACTTGAGGATTCAGATTCAGATTATTTTCTTGCTCTCCTTCGCTCAGGAATACCCTTCTAGCTTTGACAGCAGAATTACAGGGGAAAATCTCCAGTTCAAAGCAAAGCCGACAGCCAGTGTGCAGCTAGCCTGTTTTGCTGCAAGGCCCTTTTCTGGCTTCCCTGGACAAAGGGATGCGCCTGGAAGGCCAGCACCCTGCAGAGGGATTTCGGTGGACCACCCACCACAGTAGCCAAGTGGTTTTCTATTTGCTCTCACAAAAGAGGGGGGTGGGGCAGTTCAGATGTTCTTCACTCCTTCCTCCACTTTCTCTGCCATGCTCCAGCTCAGTGAGCTCTTCAGAGGAAGATAGGTCACAGCCAGCATGCAGGAACTGCAGGAAACATGCCAACTAGGCCAAGCCCTGGGTTGCCTTCTGGGGAATCATCTGACCTGCTGTGAAGCCTGGGAGAGAGTTCTCCCTCTAAAAGCAAGGCTTTTAGCTCCTACCAGGGGTGGGGAACATCCGGCCGGCCTGTGGAGTCAGTACCAGCTAACATCACATGCCTCACCAAATTAGCCTGGCCAAATACTAGCAGGCTACTTTCTAACTTGATAATTTTCAATGGCCTGTGAATGATGTTATAAATATCCAAACGGCCCTTGGCAGAAAAAAGGTTCCCCACCTAAATCATTCCTTCCAAACCAAGATGGATAGCTTGACTTTTCTTCATTTCCAAATATTTATGCCTCAGGTGTTACATATACCCTTCATTTTTTTTTTTTGTTTGTTAGTGAAATTAATTTAGCTCTAAAGATCTTTGCAGTGGTTTTTCAGATACTATGAACCCTACAAAATCATGGGAATAGGATCCTCTGTCCTGGTCAGTTGTGTAAAAAATAAAATGCGGCCTCACTGGTGTGGCTCAATGGACTGAGCGCCGTCCCATGGACTAAAAGGTCCCAGTTTGATTCTGGTCAGGGCACATGCATGGGTTGTGGGCTTGATCCCCAGTGGGGGGCATGCAGGAGGTGGCTGATCAATGTCTCACATCCATGTTTCTCTCTCCCTCTTTCTCTAAAATAATAATAAAAAAAAATTTTAAAATGCAAATGAAAACTGGATAAACTCTGCGAACACAGGATTTCCTGACTTCCAGTGGAGTGGGGTAGGGTAAGGATATATCCCTCCCAGTCAGAGGGATCGGGCCTGCCTCAGTGGGTGCTTATTGATTAATAAATGCAGACATTCGAAAGACATTCCAAGTCTAACAAGCCATTTCCTCTTGGGGACAAGATGGAGCAACAAAGGCTGGGTTTTCCCTATTGTCTTAAGTAACTAAAAAAAGACAAAATGTTTGAAAAAATGGTTTCTAGACACTGGAAAGAGGCACGCAGAACAAAGATCTCTGAAGAGCCCTACAATTGCCTCAGTTTCCTGCCTGGGGTGAGTTAATCTGCAGGCTCCACCTGCAGAGGGAGGGCAACTCAGTTCTGCTGTCCCCTTCAGCTGAGAAAACAACTACGAATTCCAGGAGGCCGGGTCAGCTAGAATTCTCAGCACAGAGTACTGGAGAGAAAATTCTGCTGGTCTGTCGAGGGCTCTCCTCCAGTCCATCTGAATACGATCAGCAAATGCTTGTGAAACCACCTGAGGCCCAGAAAGAACCATTAGAAAGAAGTAGGTCGACTGATTACTGGAGCTCACACAGGTCTGGGATTAGGTCACATTCCCAAAAGCCAGAGTGGAATGGTAATAGTTGAGGCATCTGGAAGAGTAGTTGGAAGGTTATTGTGTTCACTGTGGGGTCAAATTAGCCCTAAACTAAAGGCTGAGCTGGTTCTGCCTAACAAAACTTTAAAAACAAGCCTGGAGCCCTGGCCAGTTTGGCTCAGTGGTTAGAGCATCGGCCCACAGAACAAAGAGACCGGGTTCTGTTCCCGCTAAGGGCACGTACCTCAGTTACAGTTTGTCCCTGGCCCCGGATTTGGGGTCGTGCAGGTGGCAACCAGTCAATGTGTCTCTCACATCAATATTTCTCTCTCTCTTGCCCTGGCTGGTTTGGTTCAGCAGTTAGAGCGTTGGCCTGCGGTCCAGAGAGACCTGGGTTGGGTTCCCACTAAGGGC